TTGTTTACCGTTGGACGTGTATGTTACATTAATATTCCTTGCTATGTAATTTCTCATTTCCTTGCATTTTTATTGTATACCACAATTACGTAAAAGACCTTCTTTGAAATGTTCGGCATTGTCGATGCATTTCTTAACTACTGTGTACCGATAGGGAGTTCAAAGGCGTTAGCCTATATTTTCCTTAATTAATTGACTTGACTTGACTTCTCCCTAATTCTCTTTTTGACGAAAATACAAAAGGCCTGTCTACTGCTTGTGGGCTTATTAACGGATGGTTTTGTTTTTAAGGGAAGGCAACTTAAGAACATTGCGTAGTCTAAGAAATTTGTAGAATTACCTGTGTACATTCGCCTAATTTTTTGGCTAGCAGCGAGGACAATGGTATCAATTGCCCATTTTGGGACTTAATCTATGCGAATGTTTCTGTTTCACAGGGGTTGCTCATGTTTCAATACCTAATCATTGAGTGCCATAGACAAAAGCCTAGGTTGTGCTTCTCTAAATAGTAGTTCATCCAAAAGGAGCTTCCTGGGCCGAAGTCATGATTATCAAGAAGACTGACTGAAGGCTGGTGTGAAGAAAAGGGAAGTTCGGTCGAGTTTGGCCAATCGTGTCCGACCAACTAACTAGTTCTCTTGACTTCTGGGGCAGCACGAAGAGAAAATTTAAAATTGGTACCTTCGCTAAACGTAGGTGCTCATGCACGCAAAGGTGCTACTGCGTTATAGGGCACACGGTGTGCCTCGTTAGAAGCGACGGTCAAACTATGGCGTAATCTATTTTCGGCGAACTTATTGCAGATTTCTTTGCCCTAACAAAACAGCCCTGTTATTGATGACGTACGTGACCAACGACAGCCGGATGGAGCTGCGTCATGTTCCCACATGTTTGTTTGATCCTAGGGTTTTCATTTTTTCCAGACGCAGCTTCAAATGATTGTTTGGGTCTAAGCCGAGGTTATCCATATCTAATGTCACGGTATCTTGATTACTTTGTGGTCATCAGTGGGGTTGCTGTTACGTTTTCATGTCGGAGGAGACAAGGTGGTGGCCATCAAGATTTTCGCACCGCGCTTTGCCTTTGTTGTAAACAAATCACGTCTTCGGAAATGTGTCAAGCACCCGACAGTGAAGCGAACGAGGGCGCATCCACGCCACCAACCTCAGAATTTTGATGATGTCGGTCAGCAAAGTGTTCCGTACGGGCATGTAAATAGATAAAGTTTGCCTAGACCATCCGTTAATGGGCCGATACAGCGGGTTATCACGATCTCTAGTTGGACAGTTATCAGTTACCACCGACAACATCCTTTTGTAGTCAAAGGAGAAACTTCGGCTTCTTCATCATCAGCTAAAATAGATAAGTGTCTGCCAGTGCCGTACTTAATGAGCCAGTAATTATGTGACTCTTGTATGGCATACAGTTTAGTCAATTGATTTGTTTTATATTTCTGGCATCACTAAAATTGGGAGCAGAAAAAAGTGCATGGAAATATTTGTCACAGCCTATTTGTTACGATCAGCGTCTGGTACTTGTAATTAGCACGAACTCTGAGCTAGCCCGGCTGTTGTCCCGAACGCCAGCACGAGAGAGCAGATAAGTCAATCGGCCAGGAGGAGAAGTTTACTCACATAGTACAAATGAAGCAAGTCACCGCAAGTCACTCTTACAGAAGGCTGTGGAGTATTTATTTAGTCCGCTCCGCTAGCAGGCGCCAGCTACAGGGGAACAATCAGCTATGAGGAAAAATCGATACCCACGGCGCGCTATAATGACAGCGGCGCGAGTTGCGCTCACGGGGCTTTCTGTAAGATGATTAATCGTGGGAGAGGGCGCATTCCAACACTTTTCTACTCTCTCATAAAGCTGTTGCGGATCTCAAGGTGGTAATTGTATTAGTTTACGTAATGTTACCTCTTCGTCTTAGCTTACTTGCACTTCATTTGTTAATACCATGGGTTTGAAAATCGTGATAAAACTGCCCTTCTTCTAACCGACTTGCTTATCCTCTTATTTCGTCCACCGCATTTGACAATCCCTCTAGTTTTGTACTGCGTGCAACATAGGAATAGACGTTCTGTGGATGTTCTCGTACCCATCAAGCTTTTAGGTTAATCTACTGAACCTCCGTCATAATACTAAATGGCTTTAAGCGGTTGATGGGACAGCAAATTATCTATGGCGCCTCTGTCGGCAACGAAATTCGCCGATGGACCTTCAGGGGTGTGAGCAAATGAGAATCAGACTCTATAACAATAAGACGGATCTGGAATGGCAAATGCTCATGAACGGCAGCATAAGCTGTCCCATATATATCTGAGTAAATGTCTTTATAGCGGTTTTGGATAGGCTGACACCGCTTGAACGAAAAGTTGGCTAGTGAGCGCTTCCACAGACGATGAGCAGTGTGTATTAACGTCAGCTGTAGAAAAATACGACGGGGGTGGTCGATATACTAATTGTGCCGACCACAAGTAAACTTCTTTAATTAAGTTTGAAATTAACTAGTTTCGTCGGCCACTCTGCCCAATCTCAACATCGATATACGCGCATCAGACACGCCTAATCTGCTTACTAAGCCTAACAAAATCTACACACCGAATGTGTCTATTGAGTCACATGGTTAAATAGGACAGCGGAATTCGCTGCACTGACACCTACAGCTCAAAACACGTATACCACTAGCAATACTATCTACAACACCGCAAATGCTGAAATTATGGTTAACTCAAAAGCACACTATCTTTTTCTTACAGCCATTACACAGCTGGTTCATGTATCACCATTACCGGGCGTTTGCGGATCCATCGCATGGAAACTGCGTATAAACGTCAGCATTCCTAAAGTCGATTCGGCGTACTGGCTTTATCTGCCTGTACTGCCCAACGACCTTCTAATATCTCATATATCGATATCGCAGTGGCTTAAGTTGATAGAAGAGTCTTAAGGGAAGGAGCGAGATAAATTTTCTTGAAGAAATTCTATCGCACTCATTATTGTTACCCTGCTAGAACATGATCACATCCTAAAGGTTATGCCATTCTTGGGTGAGTGGACGATGATTGCATCCGAAATGTCGTTAGTCTCTTAATGTTCGCAGCCTAGACGAATAATATCACATGCTTTTGTGGAATAGTTAACTCAGAAGCGCTCTTCGCAGAGATCACATGACAGAGGCACTTACACCTGCAAGTGAAGCCTGTTATTAGCTCTCAGAAGGAAGGTCTTGTCAACACGGCCATCGTGCTATCCACCACCGCTTAGTATAACACACCTTCAATTTTATATCAATTATCCAGTCTGACCTCGCTGGCAGGTAGGCATTCCTGCTACAATATCGAAAACAGGCGTTAGATTCAACAGAAATGAAGGCTGAAACGGCCTTGGACCAGCTTTAAGTCACTATGTAAGGAATGTCATGGATGCCGATTTATATTAAACAAAAGTGGCGGCCAAAGATAAGGACATGAAAAGGCTTTCTTTTCGTCAAGATATTGAAAAAATGTTATCAAATCAACCTTAGGGTCACCGGCGCAACCATACAACATATGCGATCTCTGTGAATAATAGAAAAAATGTTTCCAAACAGTTTGCGTTCTCCTGTTGCATTATATGCCCCACTGCATTTCCGACCCCAGGATATAATTGGGATGGCAATGCTGCACATTCTTGATATGGGCTGGAATTCTGATAGTAACGGAGATAATAACATAAGGTCTTTAACGTAAAATATGCGTTGATTAACATATGGCATTTTGGCTGTTTATTAAATAGGACAATGTAGATCGTTTATTTGATTACGGCAAAAATTGTTTTCGCTTTCATACTCTTGACATTTTTTGACCAGAATTCTTGATACTCTTATCTTATTTTATTTATACAACCCCAACCTATAGTCTCGTATCATGTCTCGTACAACATGTTGCTCAGCCTACGCGGATAGCTGATTCGGGTATGGTCTCATGCCTGGACTTGATATTCACAAATGGCCACACGAAAGTATTCGATGTAAAAGTCTCTGCACCCCTCGGCACCAGTGATCATGCTACTGTCTTA